GGGTTGGCCTAGGCCCTATCCCAAAGAATATGACGCTGGAAGATCCCCTATTGAAGGCCTCACCTTCCGTGGGTAACAGAAAAGGTATGGGATAGGTAGGGTGTTAGTTGTGGGGGCGGGGGAGGGAGGGGAGGAAGAGGGACCTTGGATTGACATGTAAAATAATTTTCTTGCTAATAAAAAAAAGAAAAAGAAAAAAAAAAAGATCTGTAAGTCAGAGAGTCGTGGCCTAGCATTGGCTTTTTGAAACCTTAAAACCCAACTCCTAGTAATACACTTCCTTCAACAAAGCCACAGCTCCTAGTCTTCATAATCCTTTTAAAAGAATTCCATTCCCTGGTGACTAAGTATTTAAATATATGAGCCTATGGGGGGGTCATTTTTACTCAAACGAACTTAAGTTTCATTACAGTTTTTCCAGTACTTTTTGCTATAGAGGCTATTTTTTTTCATGTTGTATTTTTGCATTTTTGTTGAAAATCAGATGTTGTATCTATGCAAATTTACTTCTGCGTCCCTTATTGTAATTCTTTAGCTTGTGTGCCTATCCTACACTAGCATCATGATGCCTTTCCCCCTTTGGTTTTGTAGCATAATTTGAAGATGGGTATTTTAATACCCTTACTTAGCATTGCTCTTTTTGCTGAGAATTGCTTTGGCTATTTGATGGCTTCCATATGAATTTGTCTTTACTGCTTCCATATGAATTTTTTCTAGTTCTATAAAGAAGGCCATTAATATTTCGATAGGTATTATATTGTTTCTGTAGACTGATTTGCAGTAATGTAACAATTTCTAAAGTATTACTTATGTAAATCTGCAGACTTGGTGAGTCTTTCTCCCTCATAAGTATGTTCTTCTGTGTCTTAAGAGTTCTAAAGTTTTATGCAATGGGTGTCTGAAAACTATTCCTTCTTTGTGAAATTCTATATTCTTTTGACCATCACCTCTCCTAACTTAACCTTTGTTCTTACTCCTAATTCACTGCCATTCTATTTTCTATTTCTTTGAGTTCATATTATTTTGGAGTACACATATGAGTGGGTAAGATTATGTTGATTTTATATTCTGTGCCTGGCTTATTTTACTTATCACAATGTTCTACAGGTTCATTCATGCTGAAAGTGAAAGCATTTCTTTTTTTTTAACTGCTGAATTGTATCTCAGTATCTTGTGTCCGTGTCCGTGTGTGTGTGTGTGTGTGTGTGTGTGTGTGTGTGTAAGTAATATCTGAGTGAATTTTGACATTCAGTGTGATTCTGTATTTTAGCTCTCAAGATGTGACTATTAACAGAAGTAATCTATTTAACTGTATATCAAACTTCCTTCCAGTACATGACTCCTTTATTCTCAATCTACAATAGATAAAAATATATTCTCCAAAGAAAGAACATTTAAAATGTGGTCTTGAGACCAGTAGCATTAGTACTGTTAGGAAGAGAGATGGGGAGTCTGGAAAGGCACCTAAGATCACCACCTTTATTAGAACAGATAGCACCACAACTGCAAGCAGCCATGATTGGATATTGAAATGGGAGACCATTGCGGCAGAGAGCCATCCTGAACAATATGGTGGGGATCTTGAGGAGAAACACCCTTTAGCATAGTATGTTAGAAAAGATAAAGCACCATAGCCATAAGTGACCACAAGGAGCCCTGAAGACACAAACCACTCAGTTCCAAGAATATTAGAAGAGTTATTAGTATTATACCAGAGACAACATGTTGTGGTCTTAGAGGGAGAGTGATTTAAGCCTTTGATTCTGTAGGATGAAGATAGCTACTCGCTCTTATATGCTGGGGAGGGGATCCAGTTCCATACCACATGGCCCAGCTTAGCCTACTCTATGTGCTATGAGTCTCAAGGCAGGAATGCACCAGATAAAAGTACATTTTAATTCAAAGTTGTCTTGCATTTGGCTATAGTTGGAAGAAAAAATGGAGACTGCAAGGGCTTAGCAGTCTAAGCTTTATTAGCAACTCTCTGTCCAGGGACAGAGACTGTTGGGGAGTATGGCCCAATTTCTGGAAGACAGAGGGAGACTGCTACAGGGGCTGTTATCTACTAAGGAACTCCCAAGGGCTTGTCACAAATGTAAATTTTTGTGTTTCACTGAACACCTTCTGTATCAGAAATTCTAATGGTGGGGTTATGAAATATTTATAGTTCTTCACAGCTGATATTGGTGCATTCTCCAGCTAAAAAGTACTCCCTTAAGGAATAGGATTCTATTTAAATCATAGCTCAATAGTGTTATTTCTATTCATATTATCTATGAACAAATCCAATCATTGTAGGCTAGCCTGTGGGAGCCTAGCTTTTGAGTGCAGCGTCCAGGACTGTCTTCAGGTATTATTATTCTGGGGCTGGATGGGATCCAGACGTCAAGAAACACTGAGGGTGGTCAACCTCAAGATTGAGTAGGAAAACTGACTGAGAAGTCTCTTTGCTCTATATTTCCTGCAGTATGTTCACCGCCATGGCTTTCTTAGCACTGCTAGAATTCATAATTTCTGCCAAGCCAATAGATGTGAAATTGCATATCATTCTGAGTTTAATTTCAATTTTCCTTAATCTTAATGTTTATTGTCTATTGAGTTGTTGTTGGACAGCTGCTTCCACTTCTATTAAATGCTGGCTTATGTTAGTTGCTCATTTTTCTATGGTTATGCATACTTTTCTCTTAATGGGTTATAGGAATTAATTATTTCAGCTTAACTAAGTGATTGATAACAGTTGTTCATTTCTTGACCTATAAGGATGCCAGTTTTATATGGTTCAAAATAATACATTCCAGCTAAATTTTTAAAAATAATTATTTTATTTTAGCCTTTTGGGCGTGGCTGTGTTCAGTGAGCTTTAATGACAATAATAGAGTGTAGGGCTCCCTCGGCCCCTCCTCTTTTTCTGTGGGTCTGGATTCATTTATTTTTTTCTTTTTATGTCATTTTTATTTTAAAAACAGTCTTCTCATTTTACACACCAATCCCACTTCCCACTCCCTTCCCTCCTCCTGCTGTCCCCCTCTTCTCCCCACCTCAAACCTCATCCACTCCTCAGAAAGGGTAAGGCTTCCCATAGGGAGTCAATGAATTCTGGCTCCTTACTTTGAGGTCTGGGATTTAAAATAATGAGAGATACTTAATTTGATGTGAGATGAGTTGGGACAGGGACTCCACAGTAACTGAGGATCTTCCTCTTCTTTTTGTGTTTTTGCTAGAGTGGGTTGTCCACAGCTTCTTACTCCTTGAAGGTCATATGGACTATGAGGTCCACTGCCCTGGTGCTGTAGTTCATTTGTTGCAATAGCAGAAAATATGTTTGGCAAAGTGCTTGTTAAGGGCAAAAGAGGCCCCTGAACGTGGAAAAGTGGGTGTTCTTAAGTTACAGGAGACAACCTGGTCCAGGTTGCCTTTTAGGGGCTCTGACACCTGGTTTATCACCTTCTTGATGCCATTATATTTGAACACCTTCTCCTGGCAGTATTTCAGATACACAGGCACACATTAAGGGTAGTAACATGGAAAGACATGCCAGTGCTAAGATTACTTTTTCACTAGTTTGGCAGTGCCAGTGAATGCAGAGATGTTATTAGGTATATCATGTGGCTATAGTGTCACAGTTTCCTAGATGGACCATGCACAGCCTTCTGAGTGGAAAGGGACATAGACTGTGATCACTATTTCTTCCACAATGTTAAAGTTATCATGGATAACCTTTGCAAGGTAGGTGAAGAAGTAAGTGGTACAAGAAGCATCATTGATGATATTGAATGGACTGACATTCTTCTCATGGTTTATACCCATCAAAACAGGGGGAGCATCAGCACAGGGGCAGAGATAATGCTCTTCAACTTTTACCCCTCAAGTGGCTGGTGAAATTATTAGTACATCAACCTGTGGTCCATGGCCCCTTCAGGGTTGAATATCAGATATTTTCATTATGATTCATAATAGTAGCAAAATTACAGTTATGAAGCAGCAATGAAATAATTTTGTGGTTGGGAGTAACCACAGCATGAGGAACTATAAAATGGTCATAGAATTAGGAAGGTTGGGTACCACTGTACTAGTATAATTCATAACATGCTCAGCACCACCACCACCCTACTTGAACTTGGTGCTTTCCCATAAGATTCATAGCTTGTCTCTTTTTAAAGGAATTCTTTCTATGTTCTCCCCACTGATCTGTAACGTTGGCTCCAGCACATGTTTCAACATCATATTTCTGAATGATTATTCTCTGCCTTTCCTTTCCCAAATCTGTTTTAGAATTAGACTGTCAAATCACATGAACAATCCATTGATATTTGATTGAAATTTGACATTTTAATTTTGGAGAAAAATGATTTTATAACATTGGTTTTAATTAAGAGACTTTAATATAGTTTTATTTTTCTAGAATTGTAGAATATTTGACCTGGTAATCTGTCAGAAAATTCTTTTGGGTTTTTGAAGTAGATAATAATTTAGACCACAAAGTATAATAGTCCTTTTTATCCCCCCCCACACTTCCTCTTGGTTTGGTATGCTTAGTTTTATTTCCCTTTTATCCCCCCCCACACTTCCTCTTGGTTTGGTATGCTTAGTTTTATTTCTAGTGTAGTAAAAAAGAGATGCAACAATAATGGTCATTCCTATAGTGTCTTTGATTTTTAAAGGGGCTCTGTTTAACATTTTAACTTTGTCAAAAAGGAAACAGAGGCAAAATAAGATTTTGAGTGTTTCTTTCCGCAAGTAGTCATTCATGAACTGGGAAGCTCTAAACTGGTTTGGAATTCGCTGAAGAGCTGTGAGGAAACAGCTCCTGTCTAGGAGAAGTAGAAAAGTATAGACATCCGTCCATCCAATCTATCCCAGGGGTAAGTGTCCCTTGACATGATTATAACTTTGTTGGGTACTTCTGAATGGAGGATCTTCAGTTCTGGTTTATTCTAATGGCCATTTATAAGGAATTATTTGTTTTAATTTAAATTGCTACATATATTAGCAAGTTAAGGAAAGTATAAGTTGTCTATGATGCCTGTTTAGGACTTCTAGTCACTGCCCCGCCCTTAATTTAATATTTTTTGTGAACTTCATATATCAGTTCCACACCTCCATCACTCATGTCCCTCCCTCCCTGCTCTAAGTCTTCCCATGTCCTCCTCTGAAGTTAATAATCCCTTCTTCTTTATTATTGTTACAGATATTTATGCACCCCCACATACATACAGATTACCAGTCTCCATTTTAATTTACATCACTTATTATACTTCTTGCAGGTTTTAAAAAATTGTTGTTCAGTTTAAGGAAATTTTCTTCAATTTAAATAAATATTCTTATTTATTCAGTGTTTTAATTAAGAAAGAATGCTGAATTTACTTAAAGTTGTTTTCTATATGCATTTAAATGATAGTTTTTTCCCAGAATCCCTTCCTCTCCATAATTGTATTAAGAAATTTTTATATAGCCAGGACAAAAGAGACTTATCAAGATATTTTCTCTATGCCTTTCAAGAATAACGATGCATTTTCTAGTGTTGTTTGAGTTTTGACTATCTACTCTATGATAATGAATGACTCCCTTTCTTAGTTTTATTTCAATATTTCATTCACGTATTAATGATTACAATATTTAACTGATTCAGAAACTTTTGATGGACTTGTCTTTCTGAAAGCCCAGAGTCTTCTAGGAATTGCCATGGTGGTAATGTCCATTTGGGGAAATCACTGCTGAAGCATCCTTTTCAGGCTTCTTTTAACTCATGTAATTGTTTTCTTTTTATTCCTTTCCTGATTTTCACTAATATTTCTATTTGGCTCTTAATTCATTGTTCCTTGTTCACATATAGTCTGTGAGGTTCTTAAGACCAAGGATAATATTTTACTTGATTTTTGTACTTCTAATATCAGTGGCTGTCATATGTGAGAGAAGTGGTTGATGGAAGAGAGAAACAACTATAACCAGCATGTGTGTAAAATTATCTATTAGTATATGACCATAGCCTATTACTAAATGTTCTTGAACTTAAGATTTACTATTTCTAATATAAATACTGTAATGGACCTACTTTCATGATTATAGAGACAGGACTAAATCAAACAGTATAAGGTGGCTGGTTCCTAGTTATTTATTATGCTTGATGAATTACACATGGATTGACATAGGACAGGAGTCTATTTTTAATGGAAATCCTGTTATATTATTTTAAAAGTTATACTAACTTTTCCCTTAGAGCCACAAGTAATAGAAACTGGTCCCTACCTGCAGTTGTCAAAGAAACATCAGCTTCAGGCTATTTGGCAAGGATTCTCTGCACAGTGCTGTCTGATGTACAGCTGAAGTTAATAATCCTGCTGTTTCTCTCTGGCTAATGATCCTCTCATCATGTCAGATTTACAGGAGAGAGCTATAGGAGGCCTGACCAGTGATTCCATCTGGAGCTCCATTGTACGGTGACTTGGGAAACTTGTCATAGCATGCCAGCTGCCTCAAAGCATACCTCTTATTCTCAGAGAAAGTCAAGGACATAACACTGTCCCACTCAGGAACAGTATTTTCACCAAGAATGCTAACATAAGGTATGAATATTAGGTATATGTCCTAGTTAGCGTTCTTTTTAAAATAGATTTTATTTAAATTAGAAACAATCTTATTTTACATATCAATCCCAGTTCCTGCTCCCTCCCATCCTCCCATGCCCCATACCGAGCCCCCATCCCATCCCCCATTCACTCCCCAGGGAGGGTGAGGCCTTCCATGAGGGATCATAAAAATCTGTCATCATTTGGGGCAGGGCCTAGGCCCTCCCCTGTGTATCTAGGCTAAGAGAGTATCCACCCATGGGAAATGGACTCCTGAAGTCCGTTTGTACACTAGGGATACATTCTGGTTCCACTGCCAGAGGCCCCATAGCTCCTAGCTGACACCCACGTTCAGGGGGCCTGGTTTGGTCCTGTGTTGGTTCGATAGCTGTCAGACTGGGGTCCATGAGTTCTCACTTGCTCAGGTCAGCTGCTTCAGTGGGTTTTCCCAGCATGACCCTGGCCCCTTTGTTCATCACTCCTCCCTCTCAGAAACTGGGTTCCAGGAGTTTGGGTCAGTGCTTGGCTATGGATCTCTGCCTTCAGCTACTGGATGAAGGCTCTAGAATGACATTTAAGGTAGTCATCATTCCCATTATAGCAGAAGGGCATTTAAGGTAGCTTCTCCATTATTGCTTAGGGTCCTAGTTGGGGTCACCCTTGTGGATCTCTGTGCAATTCCCTAGTTCCAGATTTCTCTTTAAACATATAGTGGACGTTGGTGGTGCACACCTTTAATCCCAGCACTAGGGAGGCAGAGGTAGGTGGATCTCTGTGAGTTCGAGGCCAGCCTGGTCTACAGATTGAGTTCCAGGACAGGCTCCAAAGCAATACAGAGAAACCCTGTCTAGGAAAAAAAAATCAAACCAAACCAAACCAAAACAAAAATCCAAAACATAGCTAGGTAGCTTTCTTTATCTGTCAACTCAACACAGTCTAGAATCACCTGAGAAGGGACTATCAACTAAAATATTGTCCAGATCATATTGACATATGTATATGTCTATGGGACATTGTTTTGATCATGACTTGATATAGAAAGACTCAGCCCATCCTGGGTAGCACCATTCTGCAAGCAGGTGGTCCTGAGTTACATAAAAAAGCTAGCTTGGATAATAAATCTGGCAGAAAACCAGAAAATAGCATTCCTTTTCAATTTCTGGTTCAAATTCCTGCTTGAATTCCAACCTCAATAATGAAATGTGAGAAGGAGTGAAATTCAAATAAATCCTGTCTCTAAGTTGATTTTGGTCAGAGTATTTTCTCAAAAAAAAAAAAAAAAAACAGAAAGGAAGCTAGATGAGTATGGATGTAGTATGTCCACATGTTTTTATAAAATTCAATTAAATATATACAAATTATTCTATAAACAATGATTTAAAATTTTGATGTGTCATTTAGAGGAAACATGATACCTATGCATGCTTTCTTAAAATCGTTCAGTAATTCCCAGGGTCCAATAGATGTAGTCAAATCCCCAAAGTTTATTTAAATCATTGTATTGCTATTTATATCCTGCTTTAACAATTCTTCTTCATTATTTCTCTTGAGACTGATGTTCCTATTTCATGAATTTCTGCCTCAGAAATGCTAATCATTTTACTGTCTCTGAATCTTTATTCAGAACTATCTGTTTAGAATGTTCCAGTCCAAGAGAAACATCTGCACATGACACGACTGCTCCATTCATGAACTCACAGCAGCTGCAGTTTCCTACATGAGACCTGTACAAGATCAAGCCAGTTAACATTCCAGCATGGATTGGGGAAGGGACAGCTGCAGTTTCCCTAACTAAGGAGCTAATGCTTCTTGAGGAGGGAGAGTCAGTTTTCTTTAATGGTGTGATCCCTGGTAGGATGACCATGCTCCAGTGATGGCTCAAATCCGTGAGCAACAAAATTGGAAACAGTGGTCTATGAGAGATTGGGGAGAGATAGGGAGGGAGAGAGGAAAAGAGGCGAGGCGGGACATACATTTTTGGAGGAGGTGGGGAAGTAGGGGATAGTTATGACAAGAGTTGGGGGAGAAGTTGGGTGTGAATATAATAAAAAATAAATTTTATGCATATAGAAAGTTCTTAAGGAATTAATAAAAACATCATATTAAAGAAAGCTCTAGTCCAGCCCCAATTTTCTAATACTTAATTCAATTGGTATGTTTTACAGGTAGCTTTTCTTAATCCAAGCACTAAGAATTAATGTTTTACATAGTTATTGAATAAATAAACACTTAAAACAACATGGCATTTTAGTTGAATCATTCATTAATTTGCTATTGTACAACAAGAATTCAGTTGGAGACTAAAGCTGTTTATTTTCAATCAGCTCCAAACTATCGGGAGATAGAAAAGAGGGAAGATTATCTTATGAACTGTTAGAGAAGAATCTTAAAGTATTATGATGGCTTGGAGCACAGAATGAGAAAATTTAGCCTGTTGACCAGAACACCTATCTGAGTCTTCTCGTGCTCCAGCCCTTGGACTAATTTGAGATGATTTATATTATAGTGGCTAGATTCAGACACCAACCATCTTAAGAAGCCAAGGAAAATGGTTAGGCTATTTTCTGAGTTAGAAGGTGCGTGACATCACTTCTGCCATTGTATATTGTCAGGTCTTGATACAGGTCCATTCAGGTTTGAAAGTAGAGACAGAGTCAACACAAACAGTGAGAGTATTAGAGTCAGCATTTGAGTCAATGGGTCTCAGAGCTGTGACCATCTTGGAGAATACAAAGGACTATTTACCCCTTGGTAATTTCTGTTTGCTTAGTCACTGTACTCCAGAAGGAAATCCTTAAAATGCAACACAATCAGGAATTTGTTTTCAAAATTCAAAAGAATTAGGGTTCCTGGAGAGTTGATATTCTATTCTGGAGCTATGCCTTGGAGAAAAGATTTCTGAGATAGGACTGGTTGGTAGTTGCTGGGAAGAAAGAGAGTCTAGAAACCAGGGACTGAGAGAAGAAAGAAAAAGCCAGGGCTTGTCAAGACCTGACTGGGGTTTTCTAATACCAGCTGATAAACCAAACCTTGTTTATCCTAATTTAGGTGTAAATAATTAATTACATGATAAAATAATGAAATTTGCTTTAGTTTTGTTAGGCTTAAATAATCAATCTGAATAAATAAATAATTAAGCTTTAAGCTTTATCGATTATGATTTATTTACACATGAATGTGAATGGACTTAAGTCTGATTGCTTGTGACAGAAATTTAATAGTTTCTAGAGAGGGCATAATGGCATGAATGGAGCATCCCAACTGTTTTATTACTTTCCCCCTGAGACTTAGGCTGGAGGACAAGATGATAGTTTGGCTCTCTAGGCTTCTAGTCACTCTCTGCTATTTCTATCATTTAGAGATTCAGTATGCAACACTACTAAAAGTCTCAAATGTGTTTATGGAAACCTGTGTTTTAATTTCCTCTTCAATACTTAATAGCAGAATTAATTAAGAAAAAATATTGGCTTTGAAATTTCAGATATCTCTAGCATGGGCACCATAAAGGTATTGTTTTAAAAATGTAATGAGGATTGAATGTGAGGATGCTGTGAAGCTCAAGCTTGGTGCAGTTTCCAGAGCTAATGAGGTACTCAGTGAATAAACAAGAGCTGCTATGATTACAATGATGTTTATGCATTTTCTTGAGCATTTGTTCTGCCAGTGCTTGTATAAGTTGCTTCTCCCATGATACTGCTCAGGAAGTTCCAGATACCCTATCAGCCTCCAGGTGGAACCCTTACCCTACAAAATCATTCCCATACAGACACAGGAGAAAAATGAGAGACAGAGCAAAAGCATCAGTGACAAGAACTGCATTGGTCAATGAGTGGTTAGAAGAAGCCCAGTCCAAATTACTGAAATGTGTGCAAGGGCCCTCTAGTGTGCTTGAGTGCTCCTCCATGCCTCGCTTAATTTGAAGTGCCCGATGGCTATCTTGCTTGCATTGTGATGAGAATAGTAATGGGGGTATAGTTAATAGTCTCCTTTAGGTTTCTGCTGTCCATTATGACTAGGGGAAACTCTAAACCTCTTGACCTTTCTGTGGATTCAGCAATATTGCAAATCAACTACAACTTCAGAAGTGTATGAGAGATAGAATTGAAGGGAAAGGTAGAGTAAGGAAGACATAAGCATCTCCTTCCTTTGACTATCTATGTGATCCAATTAAAATAACTTGTCTGCTATGAGTCCATTTTCTTATCTAGAAAATGAGACTAACAAACCTGCCTCACAGAGTTGTGAGAACTAAGTACAAAGCTAAGCAAAGAGCTGGTGGTGTCAGTCAGTGTGATTTTTCCTTATTTCTCAGCTGTATTGGGCAGTCTCATCAATTCTGCATAAAATAGAAATTTTTACCCTTAAACAAGTCTGGAGTAGGCAGTTGTCAAGTCTGAACTACTTTTCTTAGTTGTTTAGACTCTTCTCTTATATTCTGCTGGCTGTGGAGATAGGTGAAAAAATCCAGTTCTTCCTTACTAGTCAGAGAGCTAATTTGCAAAAGTTTGGAAGAGGAACATAAATATTAAATTCAGGGAAAGTAGCATGTTGAGTGACTATTATCAGTTATATAAGAGGTTGGAGTATATAATGAACCTACTGGTAGTAGGAAAAGAAGTTTAGGTTTCAGATTTAGGGGTGAGACTGGGTATAATGGGTAGCCTCATGCTGCAATTTAAGATAGGGTTTCTTCCTGAATGCCTACCTTGACAGCCAAAGAACCGGCTTTTCCTTAAATTACTCAAGCCACTCCTTCAGTCATAACTTCATATGTAAGCCAATTCTTCCACCTCTCTCCTCCTACCCCTAGCTTGTGGATCACACATATAATCATCAATCTTTTAATGCTGAGCCAAGTTTTCTGTTAGATTATGGGCCCACAACCATTCTACTTGCACAAGTCCAGTTCAATGCCTTGTTAATGCCCACATTCAGTTTATTTACATCATAGCTAAAATTTAGATACTTCTGATACTTTGACTACTATTTGTCTAAGGAAATATTATTTATTTATTTTACACCCCAGCCACAGTTTCTCCTCTCTCCTCTCCTCCAAATCCCTCTTCCACCTGCCTCTGTTCCCACCCCCATCCACTCCTCCTTCATTTCTATTCAGAAAGGGCAGAACTCCAATGGATATCAACAAAATATGGCATATCAAGTTACAGCAAGACAAAGTACCTCCCCATGTATTAAGGCTAGGCAAGGAGATCCAGTGTGAGGAGTAGGTCCCAAAAGCCAGTAGAAGAGTCTGAGACAGCCCCTGCTCCCCCTGTTAGAAGTCCCCCAAGAGGATCAAGCTATACAAATGTAACATGTATGCAGAGTGCCTAGATCAGTCCCATGCAGGCTCCCTGGTTGTCAGTTCAGTCTCTGTGAGCCCCTATGAGCCCACGTTAGTTGATTCTGTGAGTTTTATTGTGGTGTCATTGACCCCTCTGACTTCTACAAACCATTCTTCTCTTTTTCAGGACTCCCTGAGTTCCCTATAATGTTTGGGCTGTGGGTCTGCCTCTGTTTCTATCACATGCTAGATAAAGCCTCTCTAATGACAACTATGAGTATAGCAGAATATCGTTAGGTATCATTATATTGATCCCCTCTCAGTCCTGTTTGGTTCTATCCTAGGTCACCTGTAGGTCCTGGTGCTCCAGGCATCATCAGAGATGGACTTAGAGTTGGTTGGGGACTCCCTCAATCTGTAGGGTGCCCTTAGCTAAGGGCATCCCATAGGCAAGATGGACTGGAGAGAGATATTATGTGGCATTTTAGTTTCCTACTCCCTCCACTTGAAGTCTTACCTGGTCACAGGAGATGGCCAGTTCAGGCTATGTATCTACTATTACTAGGAATCTTATCTGGTATTATCCTTGTAAATTCCTGGGGTGCTCCTATTCTCATGCACATTTTAAGACCCAGAAAAGCAATTAATTTTGAGATTCCTTGAAAACAAATATTTGGGTGTATGTCACAGAAGGCCCAGTTCTTTTGAGCCAATAACAAGAGCTCCCAAAGTGGAGAAATTATCAAAGCCACAGAACAGAAGAGTTTTTCTCCAGCTAGCATGTTAAGTCATAAAGAACCATTGTAATGATAGAACTGGGATAAGGAGAAGACAGTCTTTGTGTATGTGTTAAAATCTCTCTCTCTCCCACCCGGGGTGTGTGGTGTGTGTGTGTGTGTGTGTGTGTGTGTGAGAGAGAGAGAGAGAGAGAGAGAGAGAGAGAGAGAGAGAGAGAGAGAGAGGGAGAGAGATGCATGTGCATGTGGGGGCCAGAGATTGACTGCACATATTTTTTGAATGCTATATGCCTTATTTTTGGAGACAGCATCTGTCAGTGACCTGCAGCTATCTTCCTAGCCTACAATCTTTTGTGGTGATGCCATAGATGGAATTTTCTTTTGTGATGCTGGGATTTTAATTCAGATGAATTGATATTCTAGTACTTGCTACTCAAGAAGTAGAGTATCACTGAGGTACTTCTGTAGACACATAAATTTTAAGCTACCCTGGGGAGGAAATTTGGTATGAATTATTCTTCAGTAAGAGAAGAGTTGGCTGTGAATGAATATACAGATAGTTTGGGTGGTTCCCAAACAGAGTCAATCATACTGCTCATAGAAACATAATCTGTATATTTCCTGACATGTGTGTACATATTTATATGTCTCGAAGTGCCACTATACTGTATACTGTTGTGTCAGATGCTCTTAAGGATCTCCCAATCTTTTTTCATAATATCATCATCTACCCCCTAGTTGAGATGCCTGAGCTGGATGAACCCGACCCTGTTTGATTTCACGAGTGTCCATTCTCTCTGGGCCAATAGAAATAAACAGCTGTCTTCTCTTAATGGGAGAAATAGCACCTTATATAAAGCATTGTGCTATATTCTTGTATACAAAGTGATGTGTTCTTTTTTCCCTGATGGTTCATGCAGGTACCTACTAAGCCTCTTCATTAAGCTGCTTTTAAAAAAAAAAAACAAAACACTACTTTCATGGAACAAATTGTACATTACAAAATCACCACAGTGGGGCTGCTCAGATAGAGTCAGCCCAGGCAGTATGAGGCATGAAATTGTTGGGCTGATTCCTTTACAGGAATGACATCTGGGTAACTGCCCTCAACAGCATTTCAGAGGTGAGATCATTACTGCTCTTATATCACCATTGAGTCCTCTGACCTCATGATCATTCATAAAGCAATGATACTATGCTTTTCATTACTTAGTAAGTC